TGATGAGCTTGGTGCCTCCCAGTGTCTTCCAACCACCCTATTCAATAGTGACAGCTGACTGCTGAGGAGAGCTTAGTGTTCATAAATAGTTCGGTAAACTTGTCATGAAATGGTTATCTTACAAGTCTATCAGATCAAATAGAAACATGTAGCTGCGTGATCATTGTGTTTAATGTGAAATCTATAACGGACTAGACAGTGAGACACTAAGCACTCGATTCCTCTTAACGTTAGACGGTAGACAGAAGAAAGAACATGATAGACAAACTAGTAAACGAACGACCAGGGTCACATAGCTCTCAACTTTCGTCATCGGTAAGGTTCGTGTTATTGCCCTCATCAAGAATAATCATGAAACTTGAGCTCAGTTGATCCAAAGAGTTGTCAGGCGATATTTGATTCCTGATTTTGGAATATTTCTTGTCCACGATGTAACCAGCAATTTACTCATTCTTTGTTTTTCGAGAGGGAGGACGTTATTTGCATAATGGCATCAATGACAGTTTTAAAACAAGTTAAAACATGGACAATTGACCAGTGAGACTGAGAGGACAGCCAGTGTGTCGTGACAACGCCCGCTCCTGATGATAACTCTACTCAAGTTCACACTTAATAGTAAGGGGAAAAGTGGTCGATTTAAGGGTTCCGTTGGATTTGAATGTTCACAAGGATTTCTCAACGGAATATGGTAGTTAAGACCCCTACGAACATAATTAGACTTGTTGCCAATTTTGTATCTCGACAGAAACACCACTTTTACCACTTTTTACCACCTTTGTACCACCTGTCTGGTTTGCCAAATATCTTTAGTTGTGAACGTCGTAAAAGGCTGCAAATTAACCTAGACTGTTTATCTTATCAAGGAGTAAAACTTTTGTGTGAAAAATTTGTACATTGGACAATCAGCTAATTGGATAATTACCAATTAGTTAATCACCAAAAAATGTGAAAATTTTTTATTGGCTCAAAATGATTGAAATCGTTTGAAACACGGAGAAATGTAGTTTTTAGAAAAACTTCAAAAATTTTTCACTTAAAAATTTTTTTCGAGACTTGGAAAAAAGTTTGAAAATTTGAAAATATTTTTTTCCGCCAAAAGTGATCGAATTGCATGAAACGTGGATAAAAATGCTTTGCAGAAAAACTTCGAAGATTTTTAGATTGGGGAATACTAAAATCATCAATATTTGAAGTTGGAGTTCAGTAAATCTCGACATATTTTAGTAATTAGGAATAGCTTAGCGGAAAGGGCTGAACCTGAAAAAGGTTAACCACACAATATTAGAGTTTCATAACTAATTACAATACAGCTTTATCAAATTCCACATAAAGAAACAGCACAAAAGGACCATTTAAGATCGAACCGATTTTACCTGCTGTACTTTTTATTGATTTCAATGATCAAAACCTCTGTACCGTCAATCTTGCCAATCTATACCGGGTATCTGAATGTACCGGACCTCTTATTTACCTCTATAATTAGACCCAGTTGTGCAAGAAATGCGATTTCTCACAGGGGTTTCTTTTAACTGTGCACTTTTTGTCACTCTCGCAACTCGCAAGAGGCCCGGTATTATAGGGGGGTATAGGAAGCGAGTGTAAATATACCTTCCATCATCCACTGTGGCTTTTTTGTATTGTGAATGCGCATGCCGCTTCGTTTGCTATGCCAGATACCTCGAATAACCCCCATATGTCATTGCCAGGGTCGGGATAGAGCTGGAGATAGCATTGAAAAGTTGCTAGAAATAGCTAGATTTAGAGTAAACTGGTGGTAGCTGGGTGGTGCTAGCATGGATGTAGCAGAACGTAGCTACACGGGGTTTCATTGGAGTTGGTTATTTTAATGGCCAAAGAGTGCCGGAACTAAAGTTACTTAAGATTGCAGTTGAGGGGCAGTGTAAACTACGGTGTAGTCAGGGATACAGAGCTACAGTGCAGGAGTACTGCAAGTGCAATAGAACAGTGCAAGTGATACAGTCTGCAACAGTAAAACGCCGACGAAGCTAGACTTAGAGTGAACTGATGGAAGCTGGGTGGTGCTAAAATGGAGGTAGCAGAACGTACTACATGATGAAAACAGGAAAACTAAGGCTGGTTGAGACCTAAAAAGATGTGAATCTGTCCTGATAGATCCAGTGAAGAGCGAGTAGCGAAGAGTTTGATCACTAACCTAAAGCTCTAAAGAAGAAGAGGGCTAAAGAGACTCACTTTGATCAATCAATCCGGTACGGCAAGGTCTGTAGCCTTGATAAGAAGATACCATGAAGTAATTCATGCGGAAAAGTCGATTTATATAAAGGGTTTCGTTGGATCTAAAAAGGGTGGGTCAGTCTCTCTGTTTTCATCAGATTCTGATGAAAGGCTGTTAAGCTCAGGACGGTGATCTTAATAGGTCGGATAGCTGTACCTGGTTGCTTCCAGCCCACCCTTGTCGCTTGAAAATAAGTTCTCACCCCACCTCTTCCAAAAATGCAGTTACCAGAGCAGGAAACTCTTCTTCCTACTCTTCTTTCAACCCAAACACAATCAGGTTCCAGCTCCTCTCCTCCTCTGCAGCCACAATCTTATCTCCTTCTTCGGCGTTTTACTGTTGCATACTGTATCACTTGCACTGTTCTTTTGCACTTGCAGTACTCCTGCACTGTAGCTCTGTGTCCCTGACTACACCGTGGTTTACACTGCCCCTCAACTGCAATCTTGAGTAACTTTAGTTCCGGCACTCTTTGGCCATTAAAATAACCAACTCCAATGAAACCCCGTGTAGCTACGTTCTGCTACATCCATGCTAGCACCACCCAGCTACCACCAGTTTACTCTAAATCTAGCTATTTCTAGCAACTTTTCAATGCTATCTCCAGCTCTATCCCGACCCTGGCAATGACATATGGGGGTTATTCGAGGTATCTGGCATAGCAAACGAAGCGGCATGCGCATTCACAATACAAAAAAGCCACAGTGGATGATGGAAGGTATATTTACACTCGCTTCCTATACCCCCCTATAATACCGGGCCTCTTGCGAGTTGCGAGAGTGACAAAAAGTGCACAGTTAAAAGAAACCCCTGTGAGAAATCGCATTTCTTGCACAACTGGGTCTAATTATAGAGGTAAATAAGAGGTCCGGTACATTCAGATACCCGGTATAGATTGGCAAGATTGACGGTACAGAGGTTTTGATCATTGAAATCAATAAAATGATAGTACAGCAGGTAAAATCGGTTCGATCTTAAATGGTCCTTTTGTGCTGTTTCTTTATGTGGAATTTGATAAAGCTGTATTGTAATTAGTTATGAAACTCTAATATTGTGTGGTTAACCTTTTTCAGGTTCAGCCCTTTCCGCTAAGCTATTCCTAATTACTAAAATATGTCGAGATTTACTGAACTCCAACTTCAAATATTGATGATTTTAGTATTCCCCAATCTAAAAATCTTCGAAGTTTTTCTGCAAAGCATTTTTATCCACGTTTCATGCAATTCGATCACTTTTGGCGGAAAAAAATATTTTCAAATTTTCAAACTTTTTTCCAAGTCTCGAAAAAAATTTTTAAGTGAAAAATTTTTGAAGTTTTTCTAAAAACTACATTTCTCCGTGTTTCAAACGATTTCAATCATTTTGAGCCAATAAAAAATTTTCACATTTTTTGGTGATTAACTAATTGGTAATTATCCAATTAGCTGATTGTCCAATGTACAAATTTTTCACACAAAAGTTTTACTCCTTGATAAGATAAACAGTCTAGGTTAATTTGCAGCCTTTTACGACGTTCACAACTAAAGATATTTGGCAAACCAGACAGGTGGTACAAAGGTGGTAAAAAGTGGTAAAAGTGGTGTTTCTGTCGAGATACAAAATTGGCAACAAGTCTAATTATGTTTGTAGGGGTCCTAACTACCATATTCCGTTGAGAAATCCTTGTGAACATTCAAATCCAACGGAATGCCACTTTTCCCCTTACTATAAGTTAATAGGGCGTATATTAATGTTGATGCGAGGCATAACTCATATAAGTTGGAGTTATCCATTAAATTTAAAACTGTGTGAAGGTAGGTCATTTTAGCCAGACTATTGTCTTATGTGAAACTTTTGGAATATGCTCGAAATCGAGAGAGAGATAACATGAGCGAGAATTGAAAATATAGTTATCCAAGTTTACTAACATACCTGAAAAGAACAGTTTCCCTGGTCGCATTATATTGATATACGGGATTATCAGAAATTTTGAACTCTAGACATCACAACAATACGACTTTTAAAAAAATGTTCCTATCCGGATAATAAACATCTACTAACATAGTAAAATCAAATTCAAGTTATTATTCATCAGCTTAAGAATGTATCTTCTGCCCCACACACCAAATACTCATGCTAAAATCATAATCATGAGTGTCCGACATGGTGATGGCCATTGGCCACGACGGAACATTTCAAATTCTTTACGTACAATTTGAAATGGTTTGTTACTTCGGAAATCATTTTTGTGTCTACGAATTGTGGAAGAGCTTTCGCTTGTATTATACTCGCTAGACAATGAGCTATGTACAGGGTGGCTGACGGAGGGTCAAGGGAATCTGAAAAGGTCAAATCTGACTAACGTAATAAAATGAACGATGCCTAATTCTCGCAGTACGCGCTTAACAATGCTCAGATTACCCCTTTTGGTGTCTTTCACGCTATATAGTTAGTACTGAGAAGTGAACGATCTGTCATTAAACTTGCTCTGTCACTAAACTTGCCTTGTCACTAAACTTGCTTTGTCACTAAACTTGCCTTGTCACTAAACATGCTTTGTCACTGAACATGCCCAGTTACTAAACATGCTTTGTCATTAAACATGTTTAGTTTGTATTTTTCTCCTGCTTGTTTACAACTTTACAATAGTAAGCCGGTAGCTATGGCGGTCTTGGGAACCGAAGTTTCAACAGCCAAGGAGTATAGTATGATATTTATTATTTCATAGAAAAACTAAAAGTAAATAATCTACTCGTTGATAACTTACCACAAAAATGCAGTCGTTAAAAGTTGTAAGTCTATCATATCCATCAGCATCTCAGCAGTGCTTTATCTATAGGACTTCTGCCAAGGTTGGCAATGAAACGAGCTGTAGGTAGCTATGCCGGGGGACTACAAACCCCCACCAGTGCGTTACTATGACATGAAAGTATCGACAAAATCACCAAAGATAACTGATAATGATTATGCAGATAAGGCAGGTTTGTTTTAAACCAACACGCCCACGTCACGGTCATAGTATTCCCGCTGACCGCCTATTGGCTTACATAAGGTCACGTGTCCCCCTTTATCGTTACAGGTTACTGATCAGTTGACGATGAAGGACAGAAATGAAATTATCGATAAACTAACCTAAGATAACTGGTTTAGATTATGCAGATAAGGCAAGGTTGTTTTAAACCAGCAGTTATCGTATTCTCGCCGGTCACTGATTGGCTTACATAATGTCACGTGATTAAAGTTCTACTTACTGATCGGTTGGCGTTATCTTTCTCGATGTTTATTGGTTGTCATGACAGTCACGTGATTGAGACGCGAATCAATCAGCACATTAATTGTCGCGAGTCAATACAAAGTCAAGAATGCTTTGAGCACACCCGCCCTTTGCAAAGTAAATATTAGTTAATCTTGTTTTATTTTTCTTCTCTGAAAACGTTTTCACTTTGTAAATTAAACTTTAAGGAATCATTGTCTGAATCTACATGTTGGCATAGACCCGTTAGACTGCTTCAGTTATAAACAGATTTTTAACTTTTTTACCGAGTTATTCTAGTTTTCTTCTTAATTTTGCCTATTCCGACTCCTTAACGTTGACATAAGATGTTGATATTTGGAATAATGATGCCATAAGTAACGGTCGGTGGAGATAAAGCTGAGGTCCCTCTCCCATTGAGCTCAACAAACTGCCAAATATTGTTAGAATCAACAGTCCCACATCCAGAAAGGCGGCAGATTGGCAGATAATCTGAGAGAAAATTTGGTGCAGAAGAGAATATGTTTACAAGACCTGATCTTTTTTTAAGGGCATAAGAATATTCGTAGCGGGGAAACATTGAACTGCGATGAAATTTAAAACTTTCTGGACGTGGGCCAACAGTACCTCATCACCATTTTCAAGATTTCTGACTGCTCTGCTGTCAGCAAAGCTTCCTGCCGGCAGAATGACCTTGTTTACGATTCAACACCAGTCACAACCATGATTTAAGAGTATTTCTGAGGAAGATTGCTATATGAAAGGTTTGCATTCCTAGCAGCTAATTGTTCACAAAACGTCTCATACAGCTTTACCGTTTTCTTTCAGGCAATTTGCTGCAATTATAATTGACGAAAATGTGGCTTTGTTCTCGTGTTATAACCTATGAGAAGGGAAGCTGAAGAGTATCGGTTTACGAAAATAAAAGTTGGTGCTGTTTCAGCTCATACTGATGGCCACCAAATGGGCGAAATTTTAAACTGATAAAAGATTAATATTCAATACAGGCTAACACAGTTAAACTATTGTTTGTCCTGATACTAAGTCCTGAGTTACTATGGACTGCACTAACATGTAACAGCATCAAGCCACATGAAGGGACTCGGAAATGCAGTGTTAATTTGGAGTGGACCCATGAACCGGGTATTGTGAGTTGTTGCATTGTTAAACGTTACCTGACAGACTAACGCTGACAGAAAGTTGACAATCGGTAAATGGAATGTCGTGAGAAACAAATTGTTTCAATTTTTCAGCGAGCGTGCAGTCGAGTGTACACTGTACAGATTCTTTCAAAAGGGCCCCCTCCCCCGGCAGTCGAAATCACCATAATTTTCGGAGGTTTCTTTGGATTCATTCAAAAGAATCCGAATGATATGGGGTTGGATGTTTTCATTAGAGTTATTATTATTAGCATGTGACATGCCTATATAAAGAAGTAGGCACAATTGCTTGATAGGTTTTTGGGTTTTGTGAGATGTGTGTTAAGGTTAGAGTACAGGGTTAAGGTTGTGAATAATCCGTTGGAGCCACCTAAAAACATGTTGAGGAAGTCACGTGAAAGGCGAAAGCGAGCTTTGAATGAATCATTGTTATCCAACCATAATTCCGGGATCAAAATGTCAGAAAAGTGAAAACATCTACTAAAAAAATCACGAACTTATCAGGCCGGAGAAAGTATAACTGAAGGTCCAATCAAACAAAAAATATCATAGCTCCATGGTCTATGGAGAAAGTGAAACTATGGACAATAAATAGCGGCCGCAATTCCAACACTGGACAATCGAACAGAGGAAACAAAAAGCTAAAAAGTGGCCACAATTCAAGCAATGGTGAACTGCGGACACTATAAGAGTAGCTGGTCACTTAAATCCCATTTCCTTGTTTGAACAGACCGCTTATCGCTCTCGCAATCCAGTGTGTGTACAACTCAAAGGGCAGCATTATATTATGTCGCACTTCCCTACCGGACCTGAGTTAATGATTAAACTGATAATGTAAGATATATTATGTGTGCAGCATGTACAATAACACAGCACTGCGGACGGACGGACGGAGGGAGACCGTGCCACACGCGATCGTCTGGAGGTTCACATCTTACTAAATAAGTTAAGAATTGTCAGATTATGAGAATTCAGGATTTACCACAATGATTCCTGATCCTCCGACCAGTAGAATTACACGCATAGTCACAGGTTAATGCGGTAAGTAACCCGCACACTACGGTATCATCTGTGGGAGAGCAATGCAAGAGAGAGAGAGAGAGAGGAATTATTTTATTATATTTAGACCTGCAAGAGTAGAGTTACAGTTGCATGAATTAAGTGAAGTTAGATTCGTCTGAATTTGGACCTGCAAGTGCACAAGTTGATTGGGGAACCAGCAAGAGCCGAGTAAAGTTAAACCTGTAAAAGCGAAGTTAAAGAGGTGCGTACGGTTGAATTGCGGGGTTGAGTGAGGTAACAGTAATTGAAGGGGTTTGTTTGTTTGTTTGGGCCCGGACGGTGCCGGTGGTTCTAATGACCATTTACTAAAATACATAGATACAAAATACAATAGAGTATAAATATTATAATCAGAAGTTTTATAAATCCTATCCGTCCAAGTTAAACTTGAAGGGCGCTACACGCACGACGAAAACTCCCGGGGGGGCCAATGGCATAAAATGGCATAAAATGGCATAAAATGGAGACTTTTTCTATACTATGGAGAAAATGGAAAAACCCATGAGTAATTCTCCATTTTCTCCATTTTATGCCATGAATTTTTTCTTCGAAATTTCATCTTTAACACCATTTAACACCTAAATTGGACATCCTAACATGTTTATTTACGCTTACTAGGGGCGTAACAAGCTTATGAAAGCTCATAGTAGGCTACTAGATGTTTATACTAGGTTAGTAGAGGCACACTTCAGGCAAACTCATAATTACTCAAGCCTAGTGTAAAGTTATTTCTACAGGCTACAGCAGGAGTGAGTAATAGGGGAGTAATAGGCACTGAGAAGTGAGACCTACATCCTCGAAAGTCGAAACAAGCTCGCACTGAGGGGGAGGCCTGCCTTCCGAGATCGCATTACCAGGGGGAAGCCTCGAGTCCAAATTTGTGTATCGAGGGGTAGGTGTAGACTTCGATAAACCGAAAAACCAAAAAAATATTTTCGGCTAATAATGAAGAGGGTAGCATGAAACGTGGAGAAAAGTGGTTTTTAGAAAAACTTTGAAAAATTTTGACTTAGAAAATTTCCGGCCCGAGTCATTCTCGATACGTACCTCTCGTATCGAGAGCTCCCGATTCCGAGCTCGTGTTGCAAAGGGGAGGCCTGCCTTCCGAGATCGCATTACCAGGGGGAAGCCTCGAGTCCAAAATTGTGTACCCGAGGGGTAATTTTCTAAGTCAAAATTTTTCAAAGTTTTTCTGAAAAACACTTTTCTCCACGTTTCATGCTACCTTGTTCATTATAAGCCGAAATTTTTCAAATTTCTAAAAATTTTTCAAATTTCTGAAAACCGCTTTTCTCCACGTTTCATGCTACCCTGTTCATTATTTGCCGAAAATATTTTTTCGGTTTTTCGAAGTCCACACCTTCCCCTCGATACACAATTTTGGACTCGAGGTAATGCGATCTCGGAAGGCAGGCCTCCCCTTTGCAACACAAGCTCGGAATCGGGAGCTCTCGATACGGGAGCGGGAGGTACGTATCGAAAATGACTCGGACCGAACATTTTCTAAGTCAACATTTTTCAAAATTTTTCAAAGTTTTTCTAAAAACCACTTTTCTCCATGTTTCATGTTACCCTGTTCATTATTGGCCGAAAATATCTTTTTTTAAAATAATTTTTCTCGAAATTCTAAATTTTTCAGGTTTTCAATGGCATAAAATGGCATAAAATGGAGACTATTTCTATGGAGAAAATGGAAAAACCTATGAGTAATTCTCCATTTTCTCCATTTATGCCATTGGCCCCCCCCCCCCCCCCAAACTCCCTTTAATGTGAGCTGAAGTAGACTACTAGTAGTAGAGCTAGTAGCGCTTGAAATTGACAGAACTGAAAACGAAATCTGACAATTGTCGCGAAAACTGACAGTTTTGTGTGCTCAAAGTGTCGAGAAATACTGACAGTGCAAGACTGGGCACACAAGAGTGAGTTAAAACATCCTCCACACAACAAAAACTTGAATACACTAATAATAATCAATTATTAAAAACACACAAGCTCATTCTGCAGTCTTATTAGTCTTATCAGTACTCTTTATAGCACCGTTTCTGATAAAGTGTAGCTTATCGGGCTGCTCAGTTACCAGTTTTTTCATGTCCCTGACGAGTTCTCTTTGCTTGGCTCTCTGTTCTGGAGATCGATCTGGGCTGATAAAAACAGTTTTAACTTTTCCGTTGCTCGCAGGTTTCTCGATTTAGCGAGAATCTGATTAACAATTGTTGCACTTGCCGCAGTCACTTTAACTGGTCTCACAGCCTTGCCAGGTTTGAGCTTTCCGACTCTACTTGCTTCGATTCTGGGTTTCTCTCCGATTGCTGAGAACACTTCACTGACCACGGTACTGAGCTCCTCATTGTCCTGCTCCGATAAACCAAAAATCATCAGATTTTTGTTTCGGTCTTCCTCCTGTACCACAGTTTTCACAGCTTTCTTGATCATTTCAGAACTGACAGGCTTCTGAGATTCTGGACAATTCGCCTGTAATACCGAGCTGAA